ATTTGTTTCTAGCCGTACTTATTGTGTAATAGAGTGTATCTGGTGGTATTTGAATCTGTTCAACCATGAAGCCTCCGTGGTCTAGTGGTTATGACACTCGCCTTGACAGCGAGAGGTCGCAGGTTCGAGTCCCGCCAGAGGCATTTTATTACACAATTTCTTCATTCATTTATTTACAGGACTACATTCGTTGAGAGCTATGCTACACGATGTATTTATCAAGTCCTTTATCCGAACACTGTATTTACCTTTCTTTGATGATTCATATATATATATATTAATTACATGAATACAGGCAATTGTACAAAAAAATTCTTTATTTGAATTATGGAATGCATAATAATAAAATCAAGTAGTATTTCATAAAAAGATAATAAACTAATTAAAATAATAGCATATTTAAAAAGTATATATACATACTAAAAGTGTTGCAGTGTTTGGTGATGAAATCTTGTTATGCAAAGTGAGAACATTTTTCTTGTTTACTTCTCCCATCATCAACAAATGAGCTGGAATTGGGATAATGAACAATCAATTTTTTTAAGATTTCGGAAAATCTAAGGAACAAAATAAACCAAAGATACAACGCTTATTATAAAACACATTAATATGATTATACTTTACTTTATATGCATTAAAAAATATGAAAAACACAAGCTTATAAATAAAATTTCAAAATAAAAATTAATGACTAAATAAACAATAAAAATATATGAAAGGAAAATGAGTAAATAGTTTCATTATCATATCATCATCAGTACGCTGCACAATCGTTTAACCTAGCACTTTCTACAATTTACATGGGCCCCTACCCATAGGCGATCAGGACCAAAAACGGGCCTCGGCCTCACTCAGGACCCCAATCCCAAGCAAGCGGTATCCCACTATGTTCATTGTATTACCTATATAGCCTATTAATCCAGGCCAGTGCTATAATATATTATTATTACTACAACTTGGCTCCTACTACTACTACTATAAGATTAGAAGTTAACATCTCCCTGCCCCTGGACAGTGGTAAACTATTAAAAAATACTGTACTGGTAGCCTAGACTGTATAGGCCTACTGTATGTATGTAATATTAATTGAGTTGCCTAACTATAAAACAAACCTACAAACAATTCATATTATAGCTAGTCCAAAATGTGGCTAGGCTACCTAGGCTAGGTCTATACACTAGCCCGGACCATATAGGCCTAGCTAGGACAGGAGCCTAGGCACATGTTTTGTATGCCTAACCGCCTCGGCCTGGTAAGAGGCTAGGCGAGTACTGTAGTACTGGCTGAAAATACACAAGTAACAACAGGACTAATAATAATAGTATTCACGTTTGATTTTTATTTTATATATCTTTAATTTTCATAATATCCATTATTTTGGTACTTACAAAATATGCTGGCTACAAGACCTGAAGCTCCCGACCTGAAAATCTTACTAAAAATACTAGGCCTAGACCTATGTCATGTTCAGTCGCTGTTTATTTTGAATTTTGCGCGCTTAAAAAAATAAGCAGTGTAGGGGAAATCCCTTTATTAGGCGTACCTAAGTTTGTATAAAAAAAAATCCGTGAAATTGAGTAAGTTACAAAATTCCGAAAAAAAAATTGAATAACATAATAATAACACTCACTCATCTACTATACTTATTTTAAATTTATTTTTTGAAAAAAAAAACTAATAACTATTCAAGTAAATGTTAAATATCTAGGCTAAATTGTTTATTGGAATATTTTTGTAAAGCTAGGTGGCAATTCAAAAGAAAACACGGCGCCTGCGCGCTCTGGTTTTCTTTCCGCTAAAACACTTTCGATGGAGAAGAAGAAATTCATTATACCATCAGCAGCAGATTTAAAGAGCTTTGAAAAATCAAAACCAAAGGTAATTTACCAATACAGACAAGATTAATATAGGCCCTGCGTACTCGAGATTTATGTATTTTCACCCATTCTAGCTAGAAGGGCTAGGCTAGGCCCTAGGCCGACACCAGTGTCAGTCCAGGTCCAGCAAGAGGCCTCCAGCAAGGGGCCCTGACAGGGCCAAATTCCTGCTGGCTGGCGAGGGCGATAATAATGAGCCTGGCCCAGAATTCGATCCAACTCGGCCACAAGTCAACTGGCCACAGTCAACTCGGCCACAAGTCAACTCGGCCACAAAAAGTTTGGCTGCAGTCAACTCAGCCACAATTGCTGTTGTTGTCATTGTTGTTATTATGATTGTTGTTTTTATTACCGTTAGTTTTAATATTAATTATTAGTCTTAGCATTAACATTATGTATTGTTTAAATTTTTGCTGATATTATTATTGTTATCATATAAATAATAAAAAATTCTCGATTTTTTAATTTCATATTATTATTATTATTATTATTATATATTAGTCTTAGTATTATTATTTTAATGATAGTAATTTTAAAAATATTGTTTTTCTCATATTATTATTATTATTGTTGTTGTTGTTGTCACCTTTATTATCGATATTATTACCCTATTATTACTAAGTAGGCCTAGTATTATAAGTATCATCATTATTATTATTACTAATTAGTATTACTATTATTATAAAAATAAACATCTTTAATTTATTATTGCTGTTACTGTATTAATGCTATTATCACCTTCAATGTTATTATCACTAATTAGTATTATTAAAATAGATATTTAAATATTGTTATTATTACCATATTAGTATTAGTATTATTATTATTAGTATTGTTAAAATAAATATTACTATTAATATTGTTGTTGTTATCACCTTTATTATTGTTATTATGACTAATTAGTATTATTAAAGTAAATATTTGAAAAAGACCAACATTTCACTGGTGATTCACGTCATTGGATGCATCCTTGTCACTGACGGGTTTCAAACATAGCCCCCAATGGTCGAACAAATATGAAGGACTGAATATCTGTCATTGTTCAACAATACCAATTGTTCCTATTGTGGATAATTGATACTAGATGCAGCACCCACCTAATTTTAACGTAGGCCTAATTCTTGGGCGTGGTTCTGAAGAAAATAGTATCGAAATGCACACTGTGCGTTCATTTGATTTTAGTCGAATTCAAAATAAATTTTTAACATTTAAAAAAATCAAAATTTGGTTTTTCTATTTCAATTTTTTATGATTAGGTCTACAGTATGTACTCATGTTTTATGTCAGTGTTTTAACGTGAACAAAATTAAACATTAATATATGTTTTTTTCTAAATTATTAAGATTGCTTAAATTGTTAATGTTACATTATTGTCAGATTTTATTCAATTCTGTAAGTGGCGGGTTTTCTCTGTTGAATAAGAGTACAGTGTGAAGAAATGTATACAACGATCTCACGACAATGAGACGATGATCAGA